CTTTCAGGGTGAACATCAACAGTTGAGTACAACACAGATGTGAAACACAGCTCCCAGAAGAACCAGCTGAGGACACCAGAAGCCCTCAGCGTTGTAAGTACAGCTGCTCACTTCACAAAAAATGTGGCAATTCTGTAAGTGCAACTGCTCACTTCAGAAAAAATGTGGCAATTCTGTGGGTGGCAAACTCACACATAAGTGGGAGTACTGCAGCCCCAATCTTCTTTTCTTTTTTTTTTTTTCTTTTCTTTTTTTTTTTCCTCCTCAAAAACTGCAAAGCTGATGTTCTCACCTCAATTTCAATTTCAACATTTCACAATGTTTTAAAAATGTCTTTTATAAACCAGGCACTTCACAAATTCCCTTTTGACATCTTTCGCAAAGCCTAATGGTTCCTTCCGAGTAATGATTTTCTGCTCACTGCTTTTTAAACCCCATTTGAAGGAGCAACCCCAGAACATTATATCACTCAACATTAATTCTGCTGCAAATGGTTTGAATTGAAGATCTTATTTGAAAATTTGTGTGTGGCTTTGATTTTCCAGTCCTGGAAGCTCTTGTTTTGGAGGCTATCTGGAAATTACCTGGGGAAATGTCTTAGGAAGGATTACAGAGCAAACTATTAGCTGAGTGCAGATCATATCCCCTGGTTCCATGTTCAAAGAGGAATCTGCGCTCATGTTCTTTTCTCCTCCTGTGCATTAGGAGCTTCCCAGATCAGTTTCTATTACTTATGGCCCACAGCTGTCTCCTGTGATCTGGGCATACTTGCACGAGCTAAATAGAGGCTGGTTTAAGAGGGATAAAGGTTGCTGTAAGAAAGACTGTGACAGGAAGCAGCGATGTTATTTTAGGGTCTGTATTGAAATTTACACTCAAATATTAACCAGCTATCTTTTCCCTATTGTGACTTTGGGTGAGACTGGCAGAAACCTACCAATGGCTACAAGATCAGTGAAAAAGGGAAATATCTAATATTGGATTACAGAAAGGGAGTTTTGTGAGAATGATCCTTGGTGCTTCTTTTTGATCTCTGAGAAAAGATGCTCATTTGTTACCGTAATCCTTTTGCACCACTGACTTATCAGTAACCTCCCTTTGCTGGAACACAACACCAGTGACAAATTAGGCTAACCTGTGTCATCCACTGGTGGTCTTGAAATTTTGTGGCCTCTCTTAAACCACCTATGCACAAGATAATTTTCCAAAACATCCTTAATCTTTCTTAGGACAGGAATTACTCCTGAATAAATTAGGAATTACTTTCAGATGAAGACTTTTGTCCTAAATTACATTTGTGCAACTCGTTATTACATTTTACATGAGGTATCTGAGTGGATCACAGGAAATAGGATAGCAGCTACTGTAGGCACCTATTTCCCACAGAAGTCATCAGGGCAAGTTTATTAGTCCATTGTGGCTGAAAATAATGAATTCTATTCTATATTTGGGGTTACCTGGGGTTTAAATTGGCACTGATCTTAGTCTAATGTTTCCAATTTCCAGAATTGAAACACATTACTATACGAATTTGCCAGCATGCAAAATGTTAATCTTGATAGATTACATTAATCTTTATAAAGAGTGCTTTTTGCTCCACTTACATTTCAGGATCTTAACTCCTCGGCATAAGGATGCTTTAGCTCTTTATACTGAGAACACTGCACATTTATTTTAATTGGATAACTGAGATTTTTGCTTACTGAGCTGTCTGCCTGACATTTGCGAAATGCAGCTTTTTTCCCTGAACATAACCTAGCTGTTCATTTTTATAAGGCCTGTCATCCAAAAGGCAGAATCTCATCTTTAATTAGTTGTCATATTTGTTTAGATGTTATACATCATCCATTGGACTGAACTGTTTGGTTTTTAGTGTCCTTTCATAATGTCCATTAAATGACTATTTTTGCATTCGTTTATGTTTTATTTAACAGTTTTCCTATTTACTGAACTCCTGTTATAAGTCTTTTGCTAAACAATGGAATCATTAAATTGGTCAGGCATGCAGGCTCCCAGTGCAATACATGGGTAAATCAAAGCTAACAGAAGCAGGCTAAACTACTCCATATGCAGTACTGAGAAGCAGACGGGAGTATTCTAAACTATTTTAAACATAACAAGCTTTTCCTCAGCTATTCAGCTATAAACCTCTTGGAAACAGGATCCCACAAGAAGTCAACCTGCCTCATGGGAAACAGAAGGAACACTTCACTGTCACACGACATGGACACTGCATCAGATTCATCCATTGTGTGGATATAGGGTACATATCCACACATTTGAAGACAAAACAGCATGAAATAAAAACCTTTATTTTCCAAGTATGAAAATACAGACTAGCTCATGGATTTTAGCCTTTTTCCTCTTAGAAAATGCCTTCACGGGCTTTTTCTGATGCTAGCCTGTTCATGTGCTCTTCATAGAGTGCTGCAAGACAATTCTTGCTATGCTGAGCACTAGGGAAGTGATAGAGAGTCATAAAAGCTTCCAGAAGACAAATTCTGTTTCAGACAAAAGCCAAACATCTCCATCACTATGTATACGTAAAGTTACGTATTGTAAAGACTCAAGTTCCAGTCTAGAAAGGCTTGGAATAGAGCTCACGTTACAGTGAAAGGAAGCTTATGCCCTTTAGCAAGAAATAAAACATTACAGCAAACTTTTATAATTCTGGTAACAATATTTTTTTTTGATAATACTTTCATAAATTCTTCAAAGACCTCCCAAAATCACTGTCTCCCTTCTCATCTCACCTCCCACTCAAATCTTACCTTCAAACTGAAACAAGGTTGCTCTTTGCTTTTCTTCACTCCCTTCTGCCTACCAAAATGGTATTTCAGTTCTGCTTTAGAGAAGAAATCTTGTGTGCAACCTCTTTTTTTTCCTCATGCATCTGTACTGTAAAATTAAAAAAAAAAAAAAAAAAAAAAAAAAAAAAAGGCAGCAAAAAGAACATGACAAACTGGCAAAAAAAAATCACACAAGGAAGAGCAATGCAACACAACAGCAGTTCGCGCTGAAGACAAGTAGCTCTTCCAAGGAGTAAAAGAAAATTCTAGCTGAAAAACAATGCTTTACTCAAATGCATAGCTAATAAATGGCCTGCATGCACTTAAAGACAATCAAAGAGCAGTGCAGGACACACTTCAGAGTGGTGATTCTGAGACTTCATAAGAATATTAAACCTGATCTTTGCTGCATGGCCTGCAATGAAAGCTGCACTACAATTCCAAATAATTGGGAAAAATACCCTTAACAACTTATTGCTTTTCTTTTGTTTGTTTTTGTTACATTTGATATTCTGCTTATGCTTGAGCCAATTCCTCAATAAATACACATTTTCATTACTTTACCACATGCTGCCTATTTGGCCAAGAAAGGAAGCGCTCCTGCTTTAAATCGTATTGATACTGGGCAACAGGCAGATGAATCCAGTGGCATGAATTATAGGGTGCTTCAGGCACAGTGTGTGCATCCCACTCCTGCTTATCTATTCCCACGCTTCTCACCTTTCTTCTGCTCAACTCTTTCTCAGTATTACTGCCTTTGTCATTTTGTCCAGCCACCAAAGGAAGCACTGTCAATATATCCTTTGTGCATGGCATATATTGGAGCATTTAGTGCTCAAATTTTGTGCAAAGATATGAAGCAAGCATAAGAAAACACCTCCCTACCACTGCTGGCACACATCGAGGTCTATTTCTTCACCTTCTCAGAAGGATCAAAATATGTTTTAGAGTAAAGCTTGCTGTGAACTGCAAAGAACGCAGTATTTAATCCTGTATCTTTAGGTCTTCTCTTTTCCTCCTAATTCACAACATAATGGAAACCCAGGCAGAGGAGTGAAACAATTCTTGTAGCATGCATGATGAAACAGATCGGCTTCATCACAGCTGTTGGACCTGAATGTGAGCACAGACCTACACGGATGTTGTTGTCATTTCTAAGGACTACAAACCTGGAAGGGACAACCAGAAGCCTTGTGGAACAGCAGAAATACCACTGTCCGTTTAAGATGAACAGAGTTTTCTTTCCTTCCTTCCTTTCTTCTCTGCACTTGGATGTGAACAGATGTCTATGAGAAGGGCAGGCAATGGGAGCCCAGCACACCAGCTTCCATTGGCAGAGCAAAGAGTGAAACACACACACACACACACACACACTGTCGGGAATAACCCACTCGGCCAGGGAAACCTGCTGATAAACCTGGGGAAGCTGTTCACTCATATTGAGTTGGTGTGCTTCCCCAGGTTTATCAGCAGGTTTCCCTGGCCGAGTGGGTTATTCCCGACATTTGGCGCCCGAACAGGGACCTGAACCCTGGACCCTCAGGGTCCAGGCCCAGCCCCCTGTGCTCCCACAGCCGCTTCACCTCAGAGGCCAGAGGCAGCCCATGGAATATCTGAGATTCTCACATAAGAAATATCCTGTTAAAATGCGGTCATTTTAAAAGGCAACGACAACAAAAAAACACAATCTTTCTTCACATCCCATGCGCTGTTGCCTGAAAAAAATACACTTAAAACTGAATAAATCTGAGGGGTAACATTCAGCCCAGTTGCCATACTGAGCTTCATCACTCTGCCCTGTGACAAAAGCAGCTACCCAGCATGAGCCAGCTGCAAGGTGACTGCCCCCCAGCCCCAGCATGCACGCACACACGTGAGCACACACACACACGTGAGCATCTCCCTCCTCCCCCCACCCTCACACGTACACACACTCCCACCCAGCTGCTGCACTCCTCAGCTCCCAGCAGGAGCCCTGCCAGGTCACACCTGCTCACCTAACAGCACAGCTGGTGCTGCTCAGGACGGCTCTGCGGTCCGAAGAGGAAAAAAAAGAAAAGCAAAATGATTTTGAACACCAACATATTTTTACCTTTTCAGACTAAGCTTTTATTTTGATATTACAAACCATTTTTCTTTATTCACAAATCACGGTAGTGATATAAACACTAATTTCTAAAGACAGATATACACATTTTCTGGGTTTGTAGGTTTTTGTATTTTTTTTTTTAATCTGTTTAGAAGTCACTATATTTCACAGATGGTAGTAATCATTTTTTTTCATAAGTCATATTATCAGTAGTTATTTATATAAGTGAAAACATTCCCAATATATATTGTAAAAAAATTTCAAACGCTTTTCTTACATAACTATTTCAGACATACATTTTAAAATGGCTACTAGGAATACTGTAGGAGCTTTATAAACAAAATAGTTTCTAATATGGGCTGCACCCTCAACCTTTCAAGATTATTTGAATAGACTAAAACGCCATATAATCATTTGGGGAGTGGGAGTTGTAAAGCCATCTCATGAAAATTAAAATTGCAAATAAATTCTATTATTCTCCACATTAGACACTTTGTGTGTGCAATTCCAAAAGATGTATCATCTACATTTTGAACTGGAAGCCTAACACTTGGTAAACATTTTTCAAGGTGCTTTATCTTCCTGTTTTAATGAAATATACTTTTTTTTTTTTTTTCCTTTAAATAGGAGGCTTGTCTCATATATCTTAGATAATAAATGTGGGGTTTGAACTCTTAATAAATTTTAGTTCATTCCCTCACTCGTATAAATACATGTTACTGCCCCATTTTTCATTGGTTAATACAGTCTCTTTCTCTCTCTGTTTCAATTTTAAAGATAATTTATTTTTCATTCTTAGATATAAATGCTACAGAAACTTTGTTTTCAAATCTTGTGAAACTTTATTGATGGTTATTGTTCAACTGATCATATTGCATGCACATACGATGACAAAGAGAAAGCCTGATCACAAACACTTTTTTTAAAGCAGAGTTGTTATAGCAAGTTGGCAGGTTCACAGCGGTGAGTTGATAATTTACTAAAGTGCTTGCCAGTAGGCACGCACATTACACATGAGGATATAACTATCTGCAGCAAAACTGTTGCAAGACAGTTTTCTGCTTTATTTATTTAAATACAAAAACAAGAAGACCCGTGACAAACACCCCAACTTAGGTTAACTTGTAAACAGGACAACATGGAAAGAGTCCAAACATATGCACAGACAAACTGCAATTTTTCAGCTATGCTCGAAACTGCCACCCTGGCATTTGCTCAGCTGCACGTGCCAGAGACCCAGACAAGCAGCCTTCTCCACGCAGTGCTCGGTCAGAAGAAGGTCCCTCTTTTGTCCCAGTTGAAAAGTTGTCTTGGGCCCAGTATTTAGCAAAGTGGCCTTGGTTGGAAAATTAAACAGGGGCAAGTTGTCATGCCTTGAAAAATTGCAGATTGTTTACACCACACAGTCATGTTTCAAAAAGTACCAAGCTGATGAAAATACCATGATTATCTCTACTCAATGATTGCAATACTTGTAAAATGCTTATATAAATCTGAATATGATTATCATATAA